GTAAAAATGGGTCTACATTTTATCTATTTTACTAATAGGGAGGTACCATCCTGTAATTACAGTATGAAACAGAAGCCTATTAAATGTTTTGCACTTGGGCAGGATTATTGGTCATTTCCTTATGAATTATGAACATGTAAGATGACAAATGCTTACCTATATTCAGTATACATATAGCTCTACATTCCTGCATGATTAATATGGTAGTTCTTGTTTGTATAATACTGTACTCTCTTTCCAATACATGGGGCCCTGGTCTGAGAATGGGCAGCAGGAGCAAAGACCCTCAGAACTATTGACAGACAAATTACTTAAAAACTTGTATATATTCATGAAGGTTTTCAGTGGTTCCCCTTCCATTTGTGATAGATTTCTTTTGTCACATATAGTCAGGTTGAGTACTCCTGTTTTTGAAACTATTCCTTCAACTTGCCAAAATCAATGCAATTCTTAATTAATCCTTCAACCTCTTTTGTATCTACACTGTCTTAAATATTTCATAATGCTGTGTCTCAATTCTAAATGTCATGTCCTAGATCTAGCTGTTATACATCATCATTAAGATGCTATTTATTACGACATGACCAGACACAATATTTCAATTATATTTAGGACCAGTAGAAAGCTTCAATGACTTACAGTGCAATAATCTAATGAAGAGCTTATCCCTTACATCTTACGAAGAGAATGGTTAAGTTGTTAAGTTAATAAACAAGTTAATGACTTGTGCAATATACACAATCACACATACTTAGTTAAAGAACACTTTGCAAAACAATCCAGCTAGCACAAGTATAAAAATCTTGTGAATGGCCTGAACAGAAGAGCATGTGGCAAGTGACTAACAAACCAAAACTTATGGGATGGAAGTAGGATGGTCTGGCAAGATTTGAGGGTGGCCTTGTGGGATTTGTGACTTAACAGTTGTTCCCTCACTGATAAGTGACAAGGCAGGGTGACCATACCTTTCCTCACTGTCAGCTATAGAGAGGGAGATCCTCCTTTCATTCTCCTGCCAGAGCTAGAAATGCAATAAAAATGTGCAAAGGGGTAAACTATTGGCCATGCCTAGCCAACAGAGCAGCAATAAGGCATCAATAATAGGCACTTCATTGATTTAGAATTGCACCAATAGATATTTACAGTATCCTCTCCATTCCTCAAGGTCAGGAGTCTTATCACTTTGGTGTCTAATGTTAGAGCTTTTGATCTTGAACATATTGAGGCCACTTAACCATTTCCAACATAAATTTTGTTTTTATCCTACATGTTTTCAACTGCCAATTCCAAATATTGATCTGAAGTTTCAAGATAACTCCTTAAATATTCTATGGATTTCATTAGATTATTGAAGAGAATTTCATGTCATGTATCTCGGTCATGTTTTGACAATCAACTTAGCCTTATTCATACAGTACCAAACTCTTAAGTGATAATCATTGCCACAGTTCTATAGTGTTTGCTGTTGCATGATGATAACCATAGCAGTCTGAATGCTGGAATAAGTCTTGCCTCCAGTTTCTCAGCTCACTTAGTTTATAGTTTGAGTTATCCTTTGAAATTTACATGTCTTTTGTGGAGAAAAAGACATGGTCCAGAAGGTATGTGCTTTTTTCCAAGGCAAAGGATAAAAGTCACAATACTGGGTCCTGTTGGGATGATTCTTGTGCTTCCTGGATCCCACAAAGCATAGAATACTACTGTCAAAGAATATGCAGCAACTATTGAATACTAAAACATTTTTCTCCACAAATAATGGAAGGATAACAACAGAAGCTAAGAGAAAGTGTTATGTGTGAGTGCTCTCAGCTCAATGCATTTACTATTAACCCTTTTACTCTTAAGACCTCTGATCACAAAAAAAATATCCGAAAAAAAAAAACTTACCAAAATCTTAAGAATAATTTTCTGAGTGTTTTAAAAGAAATATTTTTTTGTGATCAGTAATTACCGAGATATAGAAGCGTGAAGTTAACAGAAAGTGAACCGCTTACGGCAACATCAGCGACTGCTGCTCATTCAGTAATATTATTTTTACTATTATTCTATTTTTTCTTTTATTTTTTAATATTTTATTTTTTCAAGTAACTTTTGTGGCCTGTGAGACCAATATAGTGCACCCCCACCTATCGGCAGCCACGACTTTCATGAAATCCGACTTTCAGCAACTTTCTTTGCCAAAATATAGCCTCGTGGTTCACGATTGGCCTCGTGATTCGGCGACCATCTGGTATGCGTCGGAGCAGCATCCCAGCATCAATGCACACACAAAGCCAGTCTTCCACACCATTCACACTCAGTGTGCCATTGTTTATCAGCAAGTGACCATTACCCCACGGGTTCATACGATACATTTCATAATAATCCATTGTTTTTTGTGCTTGCAACTGTTAAATAAGCCACCATGGGCCGAAAGAAACACAATAGAATTAAAGAAAAAACTCGTAGCAAAGTACCAAAGTGGAGGAGTTAGAGAGAGGGGAGAATGTGCCTTCTTCAGTGAGTCTACATGTATGATACTAAAGCAGCAGGTATCAATAAAGGCTATAGCGCCAGCCAGTGATAGTGTAGAATTAACAGTGTAGCAAGTAAGTTAAGCAATCAAGCGACAGAAAAACGACACGAAAGTAACTCTCCAATGTTGTTGGAGGTGTATAGGGCCACTGAACATACGCCGCCCGGCTGTCTTCCACCACCTTAAACCTCTGCCAGCATGTCCTCCATCAAACTAATTAAACTAACATCTCCGCCAAAGTAAGTGTAAATATTTCTTATTTATAAATTATGTACAGTAGGGCCCCGCTTTACAGCATTTCGCTAATACTGTCATTTCAAATTATGACCAAAACTCTCTATATGGCTCCCCCACCTGACTTTCTAATACAGTCACCGTGCCCCACCTGGTTTACATTCTATGTGAGATCCATAAGCACTACGTCTCTCCATTATGTCTGGAAACTCCAAAATATCAGGTGTTTTTAAGTTATTTCATAATTTATATATACTACTCTGATATTTATACTTATTTATACCTATACCTAAATAAACTTACACACTGTGCTGGTGTGCAGGTACACATTAAAATCAGTAAGAGTGTCTTATGTCTTGAGATGCCATATTAGTAATGATGATGATAATAATCACCGAGTCTCATTGAATGTCATATATTACGTTTATATACATATTTTCATTAATCCATCTATGGTATTTTTACAAAATTATATAATAAATACGATACATAACATATAAAGATGATAAATGCACCCCACTGTAGAATAAATAAATATGAGATGTGGTAGCCATATTAGTAATAATAATAATAATAATAATAATAATAATAATAATAATAATAATAATAATAATCAAAGAGTCTCATTTAATGTAGTATATTACATTAATATACACATTTTCATTAATCCATCTATATTTTTTCAAAATTATACAATAAACACGATACATAACATATAAAGATGATAAATACACCCCACAGTAGAATAAATAAACATAAATATGAGATATGGTAGCCAGACGACTTGTACAAGTGACGGCAATAATAACGTTTTCTCTAGTCCAACATAAGAGAAAATGTGTTGCTCGGGGTAACTGTAGAAAATTATTCATTTCGTATGTAAGTAAGTAAGTTTATTCAGGTATACACAAATACAGTTGCATAGATTATCATACATAGCAGCATATGTGTAAAGTACCTAGGATAACCAAAATAAGTCAGACAGAGTGACTTATTTCAATTGCCTTCACTCAGAGCGTCATTTCTTCCAAAAATGGTGTTAAATGAGAATGGGAGAGTGCCTCTTTATTTATTCTACAGTATCAATGTAGAGACAACTTGTACACGATGTAACTTGTACACAAACAAGACGTGTTTGCCTGGTTTGTTTGCAAAACTTGCCTTCGCCTGGTTTGTTTACATAACTCCGCGAGTGTCCTCTCTCACGTACTCATTCTCTCTCTCTCTCTCTCTCTCATATATTCGTTTTATCTCGTTTACTCACCCCTGACCCTACATTAAGACTACAAATATTTTAAGGTAAGTAATGAGTAATGTAGGTAGTAGGTTGGTAGACAGCAACCACCCAGGGAGGTACTACCATCCTGCCAAGTGAGTGTAAAACGAATGATGGTAGGATTTACCTGGAGAGTTTACCTGGAGACAGTTCCGGGGGTCAACGCCCCCGCGGCCCGGTCTGTGACCAGGCCTCCTGGTGGATCAGAGCCTGATCAACCAGGCTGTTGCTGCTGGCTGCACGCAAACCAACGTACGAGCCACAGCCCGGCTGATCCGGAACTGACTTTAGGTGCTTGTCCAGTGCCAGCTTGAAGACTGCCAGGGGTCTGTTGGTAATCCCCCTTATGTGTGCTGGGAGGCAGTTGAACAGTCTCGGGCCCCTGACACTTATTGTATGGTCTCTTAACGTGCTAGTGACACCCCTGCTTTTCATTGGGGGGATGGTGCATCGTCTGCCAAGTCTTTTGCTTTCGTAGTGAGTGATTCTCGTGTGCAAGTTCGGTACTAGTCCCTCTAGGATTTTCCAGGTGTATATAATCATGTATCTCTCCCTCCTGCGTTCCAGGGAATACAGGTTTAGGAACCTCAAGCGCTCCCAATAATTGAGGTGTTTTATCTCCGTTATGCGCGCCGTGAAAGTTCTCTGTACATTTTCTAGGTCGGCAATTTCACCTGCCTTGAAAGGTGCTGTTAGTGTGCAGCAATATTCCAGCCTGGATAGAACAAGTGACCTGAAGAGTGTCATCATGGGCTTGGCCTCCCTAGTTTTGAAGGTTCTCATTATCCATCCATCCATTGCTGATGTCTTTTTTTCTGTCTCATAAACATGCAAGATTTCAGGTACATCTTGCTACTACTACTTACACTTAGGTCACACTACACATACATGTACAGTGGTCCCTCGTTTTTCGTAATTAATCCATTCCTGGAAGTGTGACAATTATCAAAATTGACAATTTTCGAATCCATTTTC